ATCTCAGCTGTTCACCTGTATGATGTATCACAAACACTGTCCTGGCGGGTTAAAGCTATCCTACTATTAATCTTGTCGCGTTAACCGCACCCTGTAAAAAGCCACCGGTGGCACGCCAGGGTCAAAGCATCGGGATGACCGCGGAATCTATCCATGGTGAAAGACTTATGAGAACGCGGCAGTCCAGTAAAGGCGAGTAATCTTCATACCCTATCTCGTCATTCATACCTCGCAGGCTATGTGGCAAATACCGAGAGCCTACAACAAAAAGGAGAACAAAAAGCCGTAACAGAGCACAAGCCGGGATAATAGTGTTTGCTGGATCTGGTGGGCCTTGGATGATGATATCATATGTGCTATCAAAACTCTGAAGCTGTGTGAGGGGACAAGGGTCGGCGCCCCAAACTGCGTCCGTGTGGCTAGCTAGCAACCCACGCAGCTTGCGCTGATCGGGTCGTATTGTACCTTGGCAGACTCGCAACAACAACGCAGCATGAAGATATTTTTGACCGTGAGCCCGGCATCACAGTTGACCTTGCCGACGCAAGAACCCCAAAAAGCGAGGTGGAATGTTCGCTTAGCATTCTGCGCTGGGACTAGCGGCAACAGGACCCACGGCCAATCACAGGCCTATGGCAAGACGTCATATCAACCTCGGATTAGGAGGACAACGGCTGCTGTACTCGAAGGAATTATCAAGAACAACGATGATTCTCACCATTTCAGGGGTTCCTCGTTGTGCACAGGTGTGATGGAGTAAGGCCGCCCCTAGAGATCGATTTGCTCGGCGAGGAGGCAGCCGAGTACAGTACTAAGGCAATATCCAGCTGTATATCAACCTACGACACTTGGCGATTGGATTCCGAACCAGCAGAATGGCATTGCCGTTTGATCCCAGACGATTCCACAAGTTAGATAACTATTGCATGTGGGAAGATTTCCCACCATTATTCAGAATGGATCGTCTCTTTCTCCCGTCTCTGTCGTCACCCTTGTTCTCTTCCTACTAAGCTTTGCTATCAACTAGCAAGAAAGACAAAAAATAAGGAATTGCGAAACGGCCTTCAGGAGCACATGGCGCAGGGAAGGCCCTCTCGCAAATTTCGGGTCCCTTTCCCTCAGCCAATCCAGGACCATCGTTGTGCTTGAAGAATGTCTGCTGGGAACGGCTCTTCTTGCATGCACCCGCCTTGGCGACCTTGCCCTGGAAACAGCTATGATTGACAAAGCGAAGATGTCATTCTTCTGACGATCACGAAAACAGAGGCATAAGAGATGCCGATATGGCGCTATTTCATTGCCGTCTTGGAGTCCCGAAGCAATCCCACCTTTTGCTAGTTATCGCTGGACGTTTGTGCTCGCTTTGCACTTCCTCTTGGATCTTGATATGATATACAATGGCTTAACCGTATTGCATTATCTCCATCTACTCTTACTGTGGGGCGATGTTCTAAGCTTTATCCCACAGTTTTTCTAATTATTTTCTTTTTTTCATCGTATTCAAATGACAGATACATTTCTCATGTACCAACCGCTATCCCACAGAAATGCCTCACATTGCCTCATCTGTCTTCTATGTTTGAGCGGGTTGCGGGCAGTTGCCAGACATTAACATACATTACTAAATTCAACAGCATGGCCGATATCTATTTGATATTGACTAGGTAACCTAAACGGGCATATGGATTCAAGGTCCCCGTCTCAATCCTCGACCCCGTGAGACATGGAGTGAGCATGGAAGTTCTTGTATATCTTGGCTGCGCACTGCTCTCTTTGCATTTTGCGTTGCACGGAATCATGGAATCAGGAATTTTCAATTGTCTGCATCGCGGAGCCACCGTTACAACATCATCTGCTA